CCGAAAACTTAAATATATTTATATTGTATCTTGTGTACAACTTTTACACAACTTCTGCCAATTAAATTTTATAATTTTCTTTTTAGAATTTTTTCACTTTTGACATTTTAATTTTTCCTTTTCGTCATACTTTTACAATAAACAGAAAGCAAACAAACACGTGAAAAATATGTTCGTGTCCTGCTATTTCATCCTATTTGTTATTTTCCACAGATCCTAATAAACATAGCTTTAGGCTTTTATTTTGAATGTCAAGAACTTGAAATTGGTCATAACAAAGAATGATTATGGTATAAAAGGTAAAGTGCGTACGTAGAATCTGTTTTTCTATTATTACAAGACCTTTTGTGATCTGCTGTACGTTTGTTAAAAATTCTACCAATTTGATGGATGTAAGTTTTTGGGTTATTTGGATCATTTAAGTTTGTATACATTAATGTGTAAGTGCTTTTTATTTTTGCTCTGGTTGTTCTTAATATGTTTGCTTAAGTTATTGTTTGTTCTAAAAGCCAGAGTGAAGTATGATGTTTAAATAAGTAACACATTTCCAAAAACTGCCTTTAAGAATAATTTTTTTCATTGCACAGAAATTTTTGATCTCTTGGTAGTTAACTCTCTGTTTAGTTGTGATAGCATGTTGTGCTAAGACGCAGAAGTCTTTGGATTTGTTATTATTACTGCGGTGTTAAATTAATCTACCCTTAAGTTAACGTCTAGTCTGTCCTATGTAACACTTTTTATATTCTGCACAAGGAATATGGTAAGCAACAGTAATTTGTTCAAGAGAAGACAAAGGAGGTTTAGTTTTGGAAAACAAGTTTCTGGAAGTCTTAGTATTCTTCATATCTACTTTGGTTGGTATATTCCGAAACAATTTATTAACTCTTTCTGTAAGTTAAGTGATATATAAGGAGAGGATGAAAAATGGGATGGTGGCGAAGCCAAGTTAACATTTCATTCTTCACACAGTCATCCTGTTAGGAATTTGCTTTCCAAAACTTTCTGTGTTATTCTGTTATAATACTTGAAGAGACACTCTTATTCTATTATAAATATGAAATGAACTTGGTTAAGCTAAATGTTGCAATTTTAACAGCCTTTTTATTATTAATAACTTTAATCATAGTATGTAAAATCAATAGACCTATTGATTCGAAATATTTATTATTCCAGAATAATTATTTCAATGGTTTATTTAATACGCTTTAAATGTCATTGTAAATAATTGACGCGATTTCTAGTAATGTATTTTGTAAATGTCCGATATTTCTATGGTCATTAATTTCAGTAAAAGCAATAAAACCCATAAAGTTCATTTCTTCTCTCATAGTGTGGAAAAAAACAAAGAGGAAAAGGTCGTATCTTATTTTTAAATTGTAATGTTTATGTTGCATATCTAATTTTTTTGTTATATTTGCTGAAATTAAATGATAACCCATAATTACATCATCTAAGTTGGTGACCGACTTACAAAAGACACATAAAGTAACTTTAAAGCGAGATACTGTAAAAAATAGTTTTCATGATGTTATTTTGGTTAATTAAAAAAATATTCAGATGCGCATGTCTTTTCAAACTATATCACGCTGGAACTTTGCAGTATGTCGAGAATATCAAGCCTGGGGTGAAAATGACTAGGCTATGGTTTAATCTAGAGATGAATTCAGATTTGTATTACATTCATATTTGCGATGAATAAGAATATGTATACGATCGGGAAATATAGATCGTTTGAAGTATGTCTTGTAAGTCTACATATTAGGTGATGGCAAAATAATGGAATTGGACGGAATCGTTTTGGACGGGAGAATACACTTTGTTTTTACAAATCAGTTGGTGATAGCACATCATTACCTCCATGCGATTTTTACCAATTCAATAAATAAAGCAATAAATTGAATAAATTAGTCAAAGTGACGCCCATCTTGTTCCAAACATAATTGAATTCGTTTTTTAAAATATGGTTTTGTCTTTACCAGGATTTCACTATTACTATTTAAAAATCAGCTCTTATTCTAGCTTCCATATCTTATGGAGTAGTCGGTGTAGTGTTAGGAACTGCACTTTGTAGGGATTCCCCGAAAAAAATTCCATTGGCATCATGCCAGGAAATCTTAAAGTCCATTTATGTGGACCACTTGGTTCTGTCCTTTTATTACCTGAATACTGATTTAATTATTGCAATAATCTAAATTTAAAATGTGTGTGGGCCATATTTAACTACAAACACATTTCCTGTGTAATATTTAGGGGTACATCATCAAAAATGCTCGATAATTTCCTGCGCAAAATTTAAAAAAAAATTCTGACTTGAGATTACCATCAAAAAATAAATATATGCGCTACATAAGCTGATAGACCACCTGTGGTGATGATCGAGTGTACGATAGACGTGAGGATTTTCACCAATGTAATATTAAAAGGTGTGGTAGTTAACAAGTCCATTATTACGGAAAATGAACAGAAAGTCCATCGGAAAATAAAACATAATCAAAAAAATCTTCATCGGATGTTATTTTATCTATCACCCATAAACAACAATTGATTCTTTGTTGAAAATCTAGTTGATTTAGGTCTTATACAACTTTACTTTATAGGGATATGTGTTCTCGTATTATTTGTCCAATACTGTTCTTACTTAGTGAGCTAAGAACCCCAAATTGTGGCAGAATATTAAAAAGAAAAAACATTGCAATTTTTACACCCATTGCAAGCGTTTTAAACTTTTTTGCCTATTAATACTTTTTCGGTAAGCCAGTTTTTATCAAGATGCTGCTTATTTTTTATTATGTTTTAAAATGTCAGAGTAGGTATCTAACTATATGGAAAATATAATTATATTTTCATAATGATACCAGGTTTCTATAAACTTTTAAACAAATTAAATGTTTCTATTTAACATTTACAAATATATGGTTAGTTTTACAAATGTTAAAAATGACCTTTATTTTCTTGAATAAACATTCGACACTGTTTTAAAAAAAGGAAAATCGAATATTTTGGAAAATTATGGGCTTAAAAATTATGGAAAATAAAACCTCAGAAGCAAAAGTCAATGGCGATAAGAACTGCACCTCTAGGTTGCCAAGAAATAATTGAATCAGAGCCCTTTCCAATCTAATCTCCACGATACTGATCGAAGTAGCCAGCATGATATCCAACGATCGATAACGGTCATGGAACTAGAAGAAGAAGAAGAATGCGCTGGAGCGCCATCCTGTAAAACCCACCTATTTTTTTGACTGCGAGATTGATCTTGTGTACGTACTCTGGTACCACGTTTTGTAGAAAGTGTAAGTAATTTTCATTGCTTAAATTATTGGAAGAAATACTGGCCTTATTATGTTATTATCCACAATTCCTGCCCAAACATTGACTTTAAAATTTCTTTGGTGATGAGAGACTTTTTTTTTCGTGGAGGTTATCTTCAACCAGATGTGCGTGTTATGATCGTTTGTAATGCCATTTCTTTTAAACGTAGCTTCGTCGGTTAACAAAACATGATTATTAAAATTGACATTTTGTGTGTTTTTTCTTAAAAACTAATTGCAAAACCCCATTCTTTTAGGATAATCTTTATCCAGCAATTCTTGAACGGGTGTTAATTCATAAGGATGAAACTGCTGTTTTTTGATTGTTCTCCAAATCATCATGTGATTATATCCGAGAATACTTAAGATACTGACCGAGTATCAAATAAGGAAGTCCCCAGAAGAATAAATAAGAACCCAGAGGTATTGACCACTATCAAATCTTGAAATTTACAATTCTCTGGACATATTATGCGAAGTGAATTCCAAATTTCCTTATCTTCAAGCCATCCTGCAACAAAAAATATTTGGAAAACAAGGTCCAGGAAGAAGAAGAACATCTTGGTTAAAGAACCTCAGAATCTGGTTCATAAAAACATATGTGCAGCTTCTCAGCGCTGCTGCAGATAAGAAAAATATTGATATGATGATCGCCAACATTCGTAACGGATAGGCACATCAAGAAGGAAAATAATCACAATAATAATTTATTCTAAACGTATACAAAGATTAGGGGAAGTTTAAGGGAACAAAACCTCCATAAAATTTTTATGCTGTGTACAAATTTTATTGTTATTTTTTTTAAGATATTCCTGATAAAAAAAGCAGCATGTCTATTTTCAATATAATATTTCTGATAGTTTTTAATATATTGGAAAAAATCGATTTTCATTTTTTAACTTTAAAGGGCTATAACTTTTCTTATGTGCACATTTGAGCTACCTTAGAATCAATTGAACTATTTTTGGTCCCAGAATACGCGATTTAATTTATGCGCTACAATTTTGTTCCACCTGTATATGTATACTCGAGTCGCTATTATTCTTTCACAAAAGCTTTATGAATAATTTTTAAAATCTGACTTTTTGTAGTACTTTCAATATACGAACCTTTCCAATTCACATTTAAATTGTTTATGGTCTTAAGCTAAAAACGTGTGAAAATATTATGTAGTTTGATGTACTGATCGTTTTTTACGTTTCTTATTATAAAACGCCTGAAAGCATAAACTATCTATATTCAAAAGATATAGATAGACACGGTATAGTTATCAAAATAACACACGTTGTGTATATAATTACAGTTTACATCGATATCATAATGTATTTATAATTGTTATTTTTGTTTCAACGATTTTTTTATCGATTTTACTCCAATTAAATTTTTAAAGAAGTTTTCACTGCCCCACTGAAAGTTTGCCATATCCGCCTCTGTTACAGAAGACCAAACAAAACAATATTCTTCGCAAGATTTCTGCAGGAGACCCTATTTCCCATGCTGCCGGCATTCACCAACTGGTCCATATGACATACTTGCTGTACGACTAGCGTGTTCTGGTCATATAAAAACTTCCTCTTCTTCGGAAGTTCCCATTTCGTTTGTAACTTTGGACATGCTTGGTCCTTAAAACTAAAAATTTTATATATCAGATTTGATTTTGAGCGATTTGTTTCAATTAATACCGTGAAAATGAACTGTAAAGTGATTTGTGTGGTGCTTAGCGGATTGTTTCTGTTTGAAGTCGCCCTTGCTGGTCCGGTTGTCGATGATTCTAAAGATAACCATATTAATTCGGTAAGAAATAAAATAATTTACAAACACAGTAATACTTAAAATAGTTTTTTATTTTAAATAATTCTGATAAGTTTTGTTTTTAAACAAACTGAAATTTTTTTGAACTTAGTAAATACACTTTTCTAAGCCTATAACTAACCTACAACTTAGTTCTTATATCAGAACTAAATTTTAATGTAAAATTACTGGCAAATTGATGTAATTTTTTCTACGAGTTCTATTGGGAATAAGCCACAATTTAAATTTATTTACTAAGTTTTAATTTCCACTTCAGAAATCGTTCTGAAAATACAAAACATTAATACCCAAATTAAACAAATTTTGTTTTTGGTGACTTTGTGAAAAATTCTTCTAATCATTTAATTTTATTTGACCTATTTATATTGACAATTCAGGCTTATATTCTATATTTTAAAATAGATGATTTTAAAATGATATTGCCAATATTGTTAAGTTGCGTTCCTGGGACGACTTTATTGTAAGATAGTTCATCCGATTACATGAAATCAACATTAACTTGAGAATACCTCTTTGAAAGATCAAAGTGTATGGTTCATTTTTAAAAAGACAAACACATGCAATAACATTCTCCTGTTAGTGATTTCACAGTAAATTATTAAGAAAAAACTAGCAAAAAAACTCATAATACTATCCCGACATGGTAAGTATTTGGTCTTATATTTTAGTTTACTCAGTAAATATCAAATTATGATTTTATATGTATGTTTTTTTAAAATCATGGACTAGAGATGATGGACACATTCCTAATTGATATAAATGATAAAGAAGAGACAATAACATTTACCATGGAAAAGGAATATAATTTTTTATTCTCTAAGAACGATACTGGATATGAGAATGAAATGAAAAGAAAAGAAAATATGAAATTACTATATCAATATGAAAAAGGAATAATTAAATCCTTAGACTAAAGATCCAAAATTACTTGTTCTAACAAAAATTCGTTTTCAGAGGAAAAACATTTTTTGTTGATCTCTTTTATTAAAAAATGAATGTCCTGTATCGTTTTTCATAAGACATTTTTTAGAATCAATTGAATGAAACAGAACAACTTAGAACAGGATCCTACAGCCTGAAAAAATAATACAAGAAAAACTACAATACCGTACATAAAAGGATTCTCAGAAAAACTTAAAACGATGGGAAATAAATTCAACATTTCAATAAAGTTTAAATGAACAAACACATAGAGATCTATTTTATCTAAAACTAAACCTGACAATAAACAAAAAAGAAGAAAAACGTGTGTTTATAAGATACCTTGTGAATGCGAAAATTTTTATTTAGGTGAAACATAAAGACCATTCAATGTTAGAATAAGTAAACATCAGTCTTATATTAAAAATAGAGAAATTGATAAATCTCAAATATGTAAACACCCATGGAAAAATGAACATGGTGTTTGATGAAATGATTTAAGTATACTCCTAAAGGAAACAGATGATCAAAAGAGAAAAATCAAAGAAGCGGTTCTAATAATGCTCAATAAGACCAATTGGTTGATTGTTTATGTTTTTAAATAACGTACATAAGCAATTAGAATTTGGTACTTATTGAGAGTAAGCAAAATGTAAGACCAAATACTTGCCCTGTCGGTATAGTATTATGTGGGTTTTTTTTGCTGAGTTTTTTCTCATAATTTACTATGGACTCACTAAGAAGAGAATTTTACTGGCACCATTGCCTGTGGTTGTCTTTTTAAAGACGAATCACATGCTATGATTTTTCTGACAGATTTTCTTAAGTTAAAGTTGATTTCATGTAATCGAATGAATCGAATCTTACAATAAAGTGATCCCAGGAACGCAATTCAGCAATATTAACAATATCATTTTACATTCATCTACTTTAAAATGTATAATATATATCTGAATTGTCAATATGAATAAGTAGGATAAAATTTAATTATTAAGAGGATTTTTCAAAGAGTTCAAAAACCAAAATTTGTTTAATTTTTTAATATTTTGTATTTGGAGAACGATTTCCGAAGTAGAATTTGAAACGCCAAAAACAAGCTTTTAGAAAACTACCTTTTTGAAAATTTCACCGTTTATTTTCTAAATTTTCTAATAATTAACATCGACTCTTCTTTCTCCTTTAAATAAAGCTATTTTATCTTGCTTCACAATATGAAATAAATTTCATATTGTGCTCGATTATCTAACTTTAACTGCAGCAAAGTCTTTTACAAGTACACATTTATAAATGATTAAGTATAGTATATCATTTGTAATTAACTCCATACCATTGACTTCACAGTGAGTAATAACTTTCTTCTTAACCTTAGAAGCATTCCATGGTTCAAGTTCATTGGATATTGTTCCTGTATTTATGAAACCAGTCTTAGCATTTTTAAACTATAATTATGTAACCATTGTCATTGATAGAACACAATAAATGAGGAGCAGACTTTCATATCGCACTTTGCCCATTTTTAACATTTTTCAGAAAATGAGAAAAACTGCTACTCAATTATTAATAAAATAAAAACAACAAATTTGAATAAATCTACTTTTTTATTATCAATTTATCATATTTATAAGTTTTATTAAGCTTTATTGATTTTTTCAAAAAAAAAATTATTTTTGTTCAAAACTCCATTTGGTTGTCTCTAAATGACAAAATGTAGTTTGATGCCCTAAATGATTGAAATAAAAATATGAACTAAAAATGCATTTCTGCGTGTGGAATGTAATATAGTAAAAAAAAATATATGAAATGTATATCGTCCTCCAGAAGATAGCAACATTCTTCTCCATCTTTACATTGATCGAAGGTCTGGTCTTTTTCAATTATATTTTCACGACACTGCTCTTTCATAATTGTGTTGGATCCAACCAAGTTAACTCTAGATCTAATACCCATTCTTTGCCTGGTAAACTAACTAAAAATTTTGATAAGCTATCCAGTTTTCTCTTCTTAACAGCTTCATTGGCAATTCCAACTATGTTAGTTACTATGTTAGTTACATTGGCAAGTACTATGTTACTTAATTTTTTCTGCGGTTGATTTAATCTTGAAAACTGTTTAAAAGAGTCATCATTTCTATACAATACCTCTGTTTTATACAAGATTTTACTTTCCACAGCAGTTTGTTTGCCTCCAGTTACGATTATTATTTTAGCTCCACTGATACCTATAACTTTTTTGAGTGATGCATGTTTTATGTCATACAAGGTCCAATCAGAGCTAAGTTTGCATGCTTGTTCTTTCTTAGAATAGATTTGTAATATTTGTTTGGTGACTTTATTAAAACAAGGGCACGTAAGTCTAGCTCAACTTGACCAAAAACTCGATCAGCTGGCATAAACGAATGGCCACTAACGGAAAACGTCATCATAATTGTTTTAATAGTTTTTGGGGCAATATTCAAAAATCACAAGGTGAGTGCATGTACCATGTGGGAATTTTTATTCTGACTCCCATATCCATCCGAAAACAATCTTAGATATTTAATATCTGGGTCAAACAGTCTTTTTTAGAAAGTCCGTCAACGTGGAACTTATTTTTGCCACACCTCTTCCTGCTTCATGCTCAACATGTCTAACAAACAGAAGGTTTTGTTAAAATATCTGTCACACGAAGTGCATAAAAAGACAGTTGCTGAGTATAGAATGCTTCTGTAAAAGGCGCTTTTAGGAGATTTTGAACCTGTTGCAGATTAGAGCAATATGTCACGCTATCAAAAGATTCCTACTTCATTGATTTAAAAAACCGCTTTGCTCGCGTCTTGTGAATAGTTAAATCCATAGTTTTTCTCGTTTTAATATTATTATTGTAATCAAAAACAACTTGTTACGCAATAATAATATATACTGTTGATTCCTACAATGTCTGATAACAAAATAGAGTCCTTATATGGTAAAAAAGTATTGCAAGCAAAATAGCGCTATTTGTTTGTTTCTCGCTAGTGGACAAAATGTGTTTTGTTTATCTAGGTGATTTTTGAAGCCAAAAATGTACGTAAAATATTACGTTTAGAATACCTAGGATTATGTAAATTATTAAATGATGTTTTGACGAATTCAACGCCACCTCGAAGTCAGAATGTGAAAATATGGACAAAGTGCGATTTGATAGTCTGTTCCTCAAATAACTTTAAATGTTTTATACTAAATCTATTAATTTTTAGGTGCCAGTTATCAATAACACATCTTTTAATATAAAATTTTGACTTTGTTTTTTAATTTTGTACGTTAGTTCTCTATTGTTTGCTGTTCATGTACAGTAGGAATCATATTTCTAAATACAAAAACCTACATACAAATCAGTGATCTATAGCGAGAGCTCAGATTTATAGGCAACAAAAATTGATGAAAAGGCACCTATATAGGCATACATTTGGATTAAAAATAACCTAAAACCTAACGTATAAGCAACATATAGGGAATACAGGCAATTAACAAAAAGAAGTAAATATAAACATATTTACACAATGTAACATTATTTATTACAGATTTATTTTCACGTTCAGAGCGACTGTGAATAGCCGTTCCGAAGAGCCCTTTTACTATACGTTCACTATACGTGAAATCAAATCTTAACTGTCTTCTCCTTTCATTTTAAATTACCTTATACATTAAAAATGAACGTTCTACATCGACAGTTGTAATTAGAGCATATTTCAAGGCTCAGCATAATACATCTCGCTCAATTTGCAATTCCTCGGAAAATACCCCATTCAAAACTTTAGCAAAATTCCCGTTTTATTGACCCACATGAGTTCACCTCTTGTCTTTCTAATTAAGTAATTTTGGTAACTATTAATTTATGATTGTGATTTATATATGTATGAGAGTTGGTGTTTCAATTCCGTAAACAGGTAGCTTTTTATTTGCGATGGATGCGATCGTTGCTTAATGGAAATTCCATTTAAAAATTCCATAAAATATATTATAATATCCTATCCCTACAGCTGTTTCGACACAGTGTCTTTCTTAAGTGATCTGTTTTTGGTATGTGTTTACACTTTATGGTCT